CGGGCCCTTGACCACTGGCTGTCACCTACTTCCTCTAAACCCTTCTGGCACCCCCAGGGCTTCCGTCTCCTTCAGAGTCAGCAAAGACCTAAGGCGCCGCTGGCCACCAAAGCCTGGTGCCTGTCTGCCAGAGCTTTGTTTTATATATTTATTCATCTGGGAGGCAGAACAGGCTTCTGACAGCGCCGCGGAGCGGGTTCTGCTTGGGGTTTTGGTTTTCTTTCCGTATGAAGGAGAAGAGGAAAAGACCAGAGGAGCCAGGATGCGGCTCAGTTCCTCTAAGTTCAGCCCTTTTCTTTCCTGCATCACAAAGAAGCAAAGACAGTGGAACACAGGAGGAGAGGCAGCAAGTGGCTTGGAACACGGACAGCAGGTCTTCCGAAGGTCCCAGGCACTGCCTCATCCACCCCCAGCCCTTGCCCCTCCACACTCCGCCTCCCTGCTGCCAGAAGGAGCCTGACCCTGAAGGGGAAGGGCGCCCCCTACTGCTAAGGCAGCACCGTCCGCGCTTTCCCTCGCCAAAGCTTTGCCAGTTCCCCAGGAAAAGCCTGAGTCACCAGTCGCCCTTAATACTCCTGAAGTGCCTGAAACACCCGGTTACCTTGTTCCTGGGGACGCCCTGCCTCCGCCCTCCATGACTCTGCCAGCCCAGGTGTGGCTGTCGCTGTACTGCGCCCTGATCCGGCCCACGGGAGCCTGCGCTTCGCTTCTTTTGATCTCCTCGCACTTTTTCAGTTCAGGGTTGTACATTGTGTAAATGTGACATTCTTGTTATTTTGCACTGTTTTCTGTCACGTGTGTTGGGGTGGGATCACTGGCCGGAGGTGGCCCGTGTTGGTGAATGCAGGAGAAGATGCATGTGGAGGAAAGAAAAGGTCAGATCACTGGGGACTGCTTCAAAGCCATGATTGCCAATATTTGGAATAGGCAAACCCTCCTGCATTATTATTATTATTTTTTTCCTTTTTGCCAGTGCAGAGGGTTAAACTCAGGATTTTATACAAGCCAGGCAAGCGCTCTGCCCCTGAGTCCCCAGGCTGCTTGCTTTATTTTCTTAACATCTGCCAGGTCACTTCTATGCAAAAGTCCCAGAGCCATTAACCTCCTTGTCTGATCCTCAAAGGCTGCGCAGGAGAAACTCACAGCCTTTCACCCTTTAGGGAATCTCCTCTAGGTCATTTGATGGAACTTAAAGCCAAGATTCTTCCTGAAATGGCCACAAATTTTATCATTGCATGGTTGCAGGGATGAGTCAAAGAGACAGGGGCAGCCTCCCGTGGATCCCCACACAGAGACATCTGAAGGGACTCTTACTGGCTCAGTAGCAATGATCAAACACTGTGACTCCCGTAGGAAACTGTGCTGGTCTTTTCTTTCTGAAGCATGTAAGTAGGTCCCTGTGCAGCTGGTAGCACTTGTGGTTATGTTTGCACTTTGTATATTTTTGAATGTTATCATATATATATATATATAAATTATTTATTTTTGCAAACCCTGTTTGCTGCAATCGTTGGTGACATTTCTAGGGGCTCTGCATTAGGGGTAGTGGTCTCTGAGATGCCTCGTCTTTATGTACAAAGATTATTCACACGGACTGGACCGTGTAGCTTGTTTCAGGAGAGTGACATCCAGGTGTCCTTGTAATTGCTTCAGGGGTATGGACACTTGCTTTTTAAAACACTGTATAGAATGTTGTTGTTTTTTGTTTGTTTGTTTTTATTTTTGTTTTTTAATAGCCTGAATGTTTTACTGTGATCGATTAAATTTCTTAAATGAGCCATCTGGCTAAACCTGATGTGGTATTCCTCTATTTGCTTTCTTCCTTCATTGAGTAGTGGACTAGAATTCTCCAGAGAAAGATCCAGAAAGGAGCACAGAATGGGCTGCAGCCTTCATGGAGTGCTGTCATTCCTTGTGGGTGATGTCACGCTCGCTGGTGGTTTCATACTCCACCAGGTGCTTCTGTGAGTTAGGGCTTTGCCAGATTCCCAGCTCCATCCATTCACTTGATAAACATTTATTGAGTGCTTACTGTGTGCCAGGCACTGTTCTCAGCATTTGGGACAACTGTACGTTGAGTCCTACTGTCTTCATGGAGCTAACGTTTTAGATAGAAGAGGAAAAATAGATACAGCTAACCCTCCATGTACAAGTTCCACATCCTTGGATTCAATCAACTGCAGATACAGATATTCGGGAAGAAAGGTTGTAAATGTGCTGAATGTGTGTGGACATTTTGCCCTGAAGAGTAAAATGTCACAGCGATGTCCCTGGCATTCACCTGGCAGTGGGTATTACAAGTCACCTAGAGCAGATGTTGGGAGGATTGCGTGGGTTCTACGCAGATGTGATTCCATTCTATATAAGGGATTTGAATGCCAAAGACTTTGGCATCTGTGGGGGTCCTGAACCAATCCCCCACAATAAGAGGGAAGATTGAAAGGAATGATCTGGGAAAAGTTAAACATGGCAATGGGCAGACAAATGATTGTCAGGGAGAAGGGCCCTCATCTAAGGAGGGCATTTCTAAGGAGGTGACTTAGAGTTTGTCCACAAGCAAGAGAAAGAACTAACAGGTGGAGACTTGAGTGTTTTGTTAAAGGAACGATGTCCCAGCCCGCCTCCTGCACTTGGTCCCATCAACACCATCCCCCTCTCTTTCTCTCTTCCTGTATTTTTTTTTCCAGTGCTAGGGACTGAACCCAGGACTTCCTGTACACTTGGCAAGTGTTCTACCACACCACGCTATACCCCCAGCCCAACGGCCTACACTCCTGCAGCACTTTTCCCTTCACGCCCTTTTCTAGACTGGTTGAGCTAAGATGAAGGCTAAAACTGACGGTCACATTCAGTGCTCGATATGAAAATTAAGAGATTTCACAGCCCAGTGCAAGCATAAATTCTGTCAATCCTGGTCTTATTCCTTGGAGGGATTGTCTGGTTAGAGTCCCGGGTCCCTGGGCACCGGCACAGCTGCCCACCTGAGCACCCTGCCCCTCCATCCCCTCTCATGCTCCCCAGCATTCCCTGCCTGGGCTTTGAGGGAGCTTCAGAGCTCTTGTCTCAGAGCAGGTACAAATCAAAGCCTGGGTGGCGCTGGCGTATCAATTGGGGCAGGGCCAGAAAGAGCCCCGCCATAGTCCCAGCCATAGTTCCAGCCACTTGGAGGGCTGAGATCAGGATCACCTGAGCCCAGGAGCTCAGGACCAGCCTGGGCAAGATAGGGAGACCTCATGTCTAAAAAAGTTGAAAGGAAAAAGAAACAGCCTACAGCCGACAAAGAACTTAAGCACTGAGGATGTCGCTCAGTGGTGGAGCTGTTGCCCACCTGCCTGGCACAGCCCTGGGCTCCATCCCCAGGCCTGGTGGTGGGGTGGGAGGAATAGAGGAAAGGAAGGCTAAAAAGACAAAACAGAAAAGAAAAAAAAAAAATCACAGGGAGGTACCAGCTCACACTTCTCGGAATGGCTGTAATTGGCAAAACAACATAAAACAACAGAAATAACCAACGTCGGCAAGGATGTGGAGAAATCGGAACCCTGGAGCTTGCCTGGTAAACTGAAGGGGTGCAGCCACTGTGGAAAGCAGTATGATGATTCCCCTCCCCCCAAATCCTCCAATTACCATAGGATCCAGAAACCCCACTTTGGGGTACAGACACAAAGACTTGAAAGCAGAATCTTGAACAGACATTGGCCCAGAAACACCATTCCTAGCCCAGAGGTGGGAAGTGACCCACGTGTCCAGGAGGAACAAGCTGTGGTCCCTCCACACAAGGAAGAGTGACTCCGCCTTTGAAAGGAAGGGATTCCTGGCATCCGAGGTAGGGCTGGCCCTCCAGGACATTATGCTCTGTGAAGTAAGCCAGGCACAAAAGGGCAAATCCTGCTAGGAGCGGTGGCCCACACCAAGCATCCCAGCAACTGGAGAGGCTGATGCAGGAGGATCGCAAGTCTGGGCCAGCCTGGGCAACTTAGCTAGACCCTGTCTCAGAATAAAAAAATAAGAAAGCCCGGAGTTGTCGCTAAGTGGTAGAGCACCCCTGGGTTCAATCTCCAGTATCAAAAAAATTAAAAATAAAAAGAGAGGATGAGATGAATAATATCATTCCCCACACAGGAGGTGGCGCAGTGGTCAGATCTTGAAGACAGGAAGTAGGATGTTGGGAGCCAGCCGCTGGGGAGGGGATGGGGCCTGAGTGCTTACTGGGGACGGTTTCAGTGTGGGCAGATGGAAAAGTTTTGGAGATGGACATGCACAACAATGGAGACGCTCCTAACGCCATGGACGGTGCATTCCAAAGGGTTCTGGTGGCAGATTTTATATTGTGTATTATTAGAAGTAATACACTTCCAGCTGGTCAGAGTGGCGCACACGCATAATCCCAGTGACTCAGGAGACTGAGGCAGGAGAACAGCACATGGGAGACCAGCCTAGCAATTTAGGAGGAAGACCCTGTCTTAAAAATTAATTAATTTAAAACAATTTAGTACTGGGGATTGAACGCAGGGACACTTAACCACGAAACCACATTCCCAGCCCTTTTTGTTTAACTTTTTATTTTGAAACAGGGTCTCACTAAGTTGCTTAGGACCTTGCTAAATTGCTGAGGCTGGCCTCAAACTTGTGATCTTCCTGCCTCACCTCCTGAGTCGCAGGGGTTCTAGGAGTGTGCCACGGTACCTTTTAAAAGACCAAATTTGGAGGGGCGGGCGGTGAGGCAAACTGGAAATGAACAGCCCGCAGAAGCTTCTGGAAGGGTGGAGGGTGCCGCAGAGGGTAATGTTGGAGACCCAGAGCTGCTGGGAACCAGACAAAGGATCTCTGCAAATGTTGTCCTGGCAGTGACAGGGGACAGACCACAGCCCATCCCTGCCTCCTGGTCCCCTACCAGCGCCTCCCACTGGCTGAGCCCAACGGGAGCCACTTGGTAAAGGAGCCTGGGAAACCAAGGGGGGACACGCCCGGCCAGCGACCTCGATAACATCCTGGCCTTGCTCTGATTCTCTGGGTGTCCTTGGGCACCCTAGAGCCTCAGTTTCCCCATCAGAACCCAGCTGGATGCTAATCCCGGTGGCCGGGCCTCGGCGAGGGGGTGGGGGCTCTGCAGTGGCCGGAGACAGGCACGGGGCCTGCTATCTTTTCGGTGTCCACCGGGTGGCACTTCCTTCCTTCCTTCCGCCTTTTGTTTTGGGAACGTTCCAAATCGCCTCCGGGAGAGAAAACCGAGCAGCCCACACGGGCAGCGTCTGGGGCCTGCACACGGCGTTCGATAATTGCTTGATTGAATGAACCGATGCTCAACCGTGTGGCAAACAGGATCAACGAGCCGGGGTGGCTCCAAGTACAATGAGGAGGCCCAGGAGGGGGCGAGGGCGCTTCGTGGGGGTGAGGACACGGGTGGCCCAGGCTGGGCAGGGAGGCTGGGAGCAGGGCTGGGGTGGGCAGGGTGGCCCAAGAGGCCAGAGGGGATGGACATTCCTGACGTCTGGCCCGGGCTGCTTACTGCGGAAGAAGTTACTGAAAATCTTGGGGGGCTGGGGGCGTGGCTCGGTGGTGCTTGCTTAGCCCCTGGGTTGCATCCCCAGCACCACAAAAAATAAATAAAATTAGACAAAAAGAGCAGAGCTTCTCAGGGGTTAATTCTGCTTCTCATGATGGTTCCCTGAGGCAGGGACAGTGACAGCTGCCCATTTTAAAGGGAGAGGGAAGGCATGAGGTCCCTGTGGCCGGGTTTGATGCTCTCTGCCTGCAGTTCTCTGGGTTAGAAGGGGCCCTAGGGAAAGGTGTCCGCTGCGGGCTGGTCCCCGGGGTCTGCAGGGTTAGGGGCTGTGTGCGCGGTCAGGGTCTCTGTGGTCCCACTTGGAAGCTCCCAGCTCTGGCCAGGACAGGACAGGATGGGTAGTGGGAGGAAGCAGCTTCCCCAGCCTGACTCCTGACTGGCAACCCCGGCTGCCCGCTCCTGCCCCCTGGGCTGACGTCCCTTCCAACCCAAGGCGTCCCAAACCACAGCTGTCTGCGGTGAGTCAGCCTGGAGCCCACGGGGTGGAGGGTGGAGGCGGGCGGGGTGCTGCCCTGACCCCAGCTGGCTGCGCCCCACCCCGCCCCCACTTGCAGGCAGTGATTTTCCGTCATGAAGGGGATAAGAAAGCAGCTGAGGTTCTGTGTGTGACATGGCCCAGTTCATGTCCCCCCACTGAGCAGGGCAGCACTCTCAGGCCTCCTGGGTTTCATCCAGCTCCCCTCCTGGCAGCTCCCATTTCTGTGCTAATTCCTGCTCTGGGAGTGGGGGTGTCCCTTCTGGCTGAATCCTGCTTCTCCCTGAAGCCTGGGTGCCTCTGGGATGGGGCTTGAGGGACTTGGAGGGAGATTCCGGGGTACATAGTGAGATAGGTCACCAAGATGGCCCAGGCTGCTGCACTGTGACTTATGTCAAGAGCTTAGTGGTAGAGCCCTTGCCTAGCATGCACAAGTCCTTGCGGTTCATCCACCACCACCACACACACACACACACACACACACCAAGGGGAGTGGTCACCGGCAGGCAGGTTCCCTTGGATCACTACAGGAATTTGAAAATTCTCCCCACATTCCACTGTGGACTGCAGGCCCAGTGTGATCAAGGTCCCCTCCAGGCCAGCTTCCTTGTTGCACTTTGAGCTTTCTGTCCCCCTGCCTGGAGTTTGTCTCTACACCTTTGTTCCCTGAGGACTTAGATCTGGGCCCAGTGACCTTCCATCCTGGGGCCCCCTACAGAGTTCTCCCTCCCACAGCGTTTTATTTTCTTTAGTTCATTTATCACCAACTGAAATGATCTCATTCATGGTCGGAATTAGCAGGACATGCTCTGGACTCAGAGGACTTGGATTCAAACCCCAGTCTGCAGAACCTGAGATTAATGGCTTTATCTAGGGTTCCTTCACTGCCAGAAAACACGCGGCCAGGCCCACGGCCCTGGCGGGACCTCACGCGGCCTTTACTGGGTGTGCTCCTGCGGGAGAGCTGGTGAGACCTGGGCGGCGAGCCGACACTTCTGAGTGAACAGGAGCGCTGAGAGTGACCAGTGCAGGCCACAGGAGGAGGCCAGTCACCTGGAGGCTCCAGTCCCAGACCCAGTCATGCCCACAACCCACCGCCAGTCCTCTCGGCTTCTTCTTGTCGAGGGCAGCAGGAGGATGGTGGCTTTGTGTTCGACCACCTGCGCTGGAGTCCGGCCTCTGGACTTGGACGCCCCGCCCCTGTTTCCTGTCTGTAGATGGAGAACAACCTTGACCTGCCTTACCTAGTTCTGCAGGGTGGGACACCAGATGCCAGGCCACAGGAGGGCTCAAGAAAAGGACATGGCCACCCCTGCGCTGCCCTTGCTCAGTGGCCTAGCACCGTCTTGAGGATCCACCTCTTCCCTGAAAAACCTGGGAGGGCATCAGGAGACGCCCAGCTGGGGCCACCAAGCTGATCTCGGGGCCAGTGTGAGGGAGGGCTTGGCCTGCAGACCTGATACAATTGTGGTTCTGATTTCCAGGGAAGAAACACTGATGTCAAGCCAGGCCACCTAGTGACACCACGCCTGCAACAGGACAGCAGGGCACTGCAACGTCAGCCTGATTTGTCCCCTTTGGGGCTCCAGCACGTGTGGCCGTGGGTTCCACTGTGGACTCCCGCTTCCCTCCTGAGTGCTCTGCATTGAGGACAGACCCTTCACAGGCCAGGTCCCACCTGGGAAGCGGAGATGATCCCTCAGCTCAAATCTGATCTTAGGCTAGAAATGAGAGCTGACCCTGGGGTCCCAGCAGTGTGGTTCAGAATCCAGGGTGTCACTCCTGTGACTTAAGGCCAGCCCCCAGACTGTCCGTGCCTCAGTTTTCACACCTATAAAGGTGTCTTGGATGGTGCTGGGGCCAAGTCCCCGTCTTGCAGGTGACCCGATTCCTCATTCCCTGGTTGTGGGGACTTGAATTTCATTCCTACTTCAGCAGGTCTGGGCCCAGTACTTCGGGAGCCTCTTGAATTGAGAACAAGAACCACCAGGGTGGGGGTGGGGCTCGGGCTGGAGGCTGCAGGCCGAGGCTGTCCTGGGCACGGGGCCAGCGCTGGGCAGTGAGTCAGGGCCCAGGCATGGGGAGAGCAGGGGCCTCCCCGTCCCTGTGAGATCAGGCACCTCCCTGCACCCGCCTGCGGGGCCCCACTCGGCCACGTTCCTCACCCACTCGCTCCCTCTGTAGGTCAGTGCTTGGGTTGGCCAAGGTGGCAGAGAAGCCAGGGAGCGGGGTGAGGGGCACATAGTCCCTCTGAGCTTGGGCGCGGCCTCCCTGAAGGGACTGTCTTCTCCTTGGGGAAACAGGTCCAGGATGCTGGGGATGAGTGGCCTCGGCCCCCTCCCAGAACAAAGCCAGGCTTCTCCTTCAGGAGGGAGAGCCGATGCTGGGGGAGGAGGGCACTTAGAGCCTGGGCCAGGGCCAAAGATAAAAGCTCCTTGTGCCCTTATCTGTGCCCTGCAGCCTGCCAGTCTGTTTGCAAGACCAGAGGGAAACACGCCTCTTCTCCACCCCTGGACTCAGCTAGGGGCCGGGGCTGTGCCATGCAGGGCTCCTGTGGTCCTGTGGGTGAACCATCCGGGGTGAGCATCCTGCCCCATGTTGGCAAGAATGGCCACCAAGGTGACAGCAGCTCCTCAGCCAAAGGCCAAGGGGCTGATGCCAGACTTGCAGACTGGCCTTGTGTCACTTCTCCCCGGGACACCCACAATGGCTGAGACATGTCCTGTTGTCATGATAGAGCAGGAGCTACTGGTATTCAGCGGGCGGAGGCAAGGAAGGCGCTAAATGTCCCACTTTACCCAGGACAGCCCTGACAGCCTAACCTGTCCCCCGTCACCGGGGCTGAGGAGGGAGAGCCACATCTGCTTCCAAACCTTGCTTGAGGTTGGCTGCTGGTGTGGACAGGGCTCTGCTCTCCTTTCACATCAGGTCTAAGAACCTGGGGTGCCTCCCAGTGGAAGGAGAGCACTGGCCTGCACACAGGAGGCTTGTTCCATCTCCAGCATCAGGGGAAGAGAAGTGCACAGACTGTGGTCCTAGGCTACAGTGTCATTGTAAGGGGAGGTTAAGTCAGGGCCCTACAGCTGTGTAGCGCAGGTCAGGCCAAGATCCCACCGCAAAATCAGGGAGAAAAAGAAACACTGCAGCCAGGCACGGTGTCCCAGGCCTATAGTCCAGCTGCTCAGGAGGCTGAGGCAGGAGGATCCTACTAAGTTCAAAGCCAGCCTCAGCAGTTAAGCGGCCTTGGGTTCAATCCCCACTAACAACAACAAAAGGATAATAAAAACTCCTTTTATATACAAACATTTTTTTTCTTTTTTTATTTGTTCTACTTAGTTGTACTCGACAGCAGAATATATACAGATATTTAAACTGATCACCACGGAGCTACCCACCACCCGCCAAGGCCGATTCTGCAGGTCACGAGGCTCCTGGCTGCCACTCGGTGTCTACCAGGCTCCAGAGGTAGTCACTGATGAATTTCTGGGAGAGCTGGGTGCTGTCCAGGTGGATGGGCTGGGCCACACTGGGGCCGTAATGGACTGAAGGTTCCAATGCAAGGAAAACCCCTCACACACCTGGCCCTTCCACAACCTGGGGGTGGGGAGGGGACTGCCATTTTAACATTTAATTGATTTTTTTTTTTTTTTTTTTTTTTTACTTTTGAGAAAGGGTCTTGTCTTGCTAACTTGTTGAGGCTGGCCTCGAACTTGTGAATGTCTTGCCTCAGCCTCCAAAGTAACTGGGATTACTTGGCTTGGCCAGCCTTGGAAAAAAAAAAAAAAAGTTTAAGATACTCAGGTCTAACCCCAAAACAATACTACCAAAACAAAAAAGATATTTAGAGGGGCTGGGATGTAGCTCAATTGCAGTTTAAGATTATGGGTTCAATTCCCAGCACCCCTTACAAAAAGATATTTAGAGACTAAAATACATTTTCATGAAGAAAATATCAAGATGCTATCTTCTTAAAAAGTGTGAAGTACGGCTGCGCGTGGTGGAGCATGCCTGTAATACCGGCAGATTGGGAGGCTGAGGCAGGAGGATTGCAAGTTCAAAGATAGCTTCAGCAGTTCAGCCAGGCCCTGTCTCAAAACTGGCTGGGGAGGTGGCCCAGTGGTGAAGCACCTGGGTTCACGCTGGGTTCAGTCCCTGGTACCAAAAAAAGGAAGGGGCTGGGGCATGACTCAGGGGTAGAGTGCTTGTCTCCCATGAGCCAGGCCCTGGGTTCCATCCCTAGTACCACAGGAAAGGGAAAAAAGAAAAAAATACAGAACACTTGTTTAGTAGGGCACGGTGACCTGTGCATGGTTTCGGTCCCTGCTGTTGGGAGGTAGAGGCAGGAGGGTCCCTTGAGTCCAGGAGTTAGAGGCCAACCTGGGCGATACAGGGAGGGCTTGGTGGTAGAGTGCTTGCCAAGCACGGGCGAGGCACTGAGTTCTATTCTCAACACCACACATAAGTCAATAAATAAATAAAGCTCCAACAACTTAAAATTGTTTTAAATAAATAATAAATAAATGTAACAGAATCCACCCCTTACCCACATTTAGGTACGTTGTTAAGCACCATGACAGTGCTGGGCAACCTCACCACCATCCATCGGCAGAATTTCATTCCCAAACTGAAAGTCTGTCCCCATGGAACACCAGCCCCCCTCTGCCCCTGCTCAGCCCCTAGGAAGTGGCTGCTGGCCTGGTGGAACTGCTCGAAGCTGTCTGCGCTTCTCTCCTCGGCCTAGGGTTCTCACGGGCCTCCAGCCTCCGGACCTCCTTCCTTAGGGCGGTGCCTGGTCCGATGGAGCACAGCTTGCTCATCAACTCACCTGCTCACCCTGCTCCGAAGTCAGACTATCTCCTGGCCAGCTGTGACCAACGCTGCTGTGAGCAGGACAGAGACTGCCACACCCTGCTGCTCTCCCTCCTTTTGTGTCTATTCCCAGTGGCAGGACTGCTGGGTCCTAGAGTGATTCTATTTCTAGTTCTTGAGGATCCCACACACCGTGTTCCAGAGCGGCTGCACCCCTTCATATTCCCACCAGTTTCTCCAAAAAAATAAAAGGATACTGCCTTTGATCACTCCTGGCTCGCTCTCGTAATCCCACTCTATTTTACTCATTCGGTGATAAAGTTGAGCCACATACCTAGACAAGGGAGGGAAGGAGAAGAAAGTTACCCCTGCATCAACTTGAACCTGCAGCTGCAGGACGGGCCGCAGGCTGAGCCACAGCACGCGTTCCTGGAACCTACACGGCAGAAGGGATGACGACAGTCGTGTCCTCGTCAACATCTCTCTCCTGTCTTTCCAGATCGGCCTCCAGCTCCCTGAGCTCCTCCAGCTCTCCGGTGAGCTGAGTGCGGCAGGTCGTTAAGGACCCGGCTTAGAAGGAGGCCATCACGCTGCGCGTTGCGCCCAGGCACCAGGATCCCAGGGCTTGCTAGGCCAGTGCCCGCCCTGAGCCACACCCCAGCCCCATGCAAGGGATTTCTAGGGAGGACGATGGGCACGGTCAAGGATATAGGAGGCTGGCCTGCAGATGGGCATCGTCCTCAGCCGCCCTCTGGAGCTCGGCCTCCAGCTGCTGTAGCTCCGCGTTCCCCTGGCAGCTGCGCTCCTTTGAGTGAAGAAGGCTTTGGGCCACCTCTTCTTCTGTAGCCAGTGTCTCTGCAGAGGGAGAGAAGGCTCCTTGGGGTCTGTCCCCCCACCCCCAGGAGGTCCCAGGGAAGGGCATCCCACCCCCCACTGCAAGCTGCATCGCGCCACTTGAGATCACAAGTCCATTTCCAGAGTTGCTGTCAGAACTTGCACATTTTTGCCACAACACATTTAAATACACCAAAAATTGTAAATATGGGATCTGGCCCTTCTCTCTCTCTTTTTTTTTTGGTACTGAAGATTGAACCAGGGGCAGCCCCAAGCCCCTTTTATTTTGAGACAGTGTCTCTCTAAGCTGCCCAGGGTGGGCTTGGCTTGTGATCCTCTTGCCTCGCCTCCTTGGGTACTGGGAATACAGATGTGAGCCACCATGTCTGGCTCTGGTCCTTCCTGTGACACCTGATCTTTTATTATTTATTTTTTTTGAGAAAGCGTCTTTCCATGTGGCCCAAACTGGGTTCAAACCCACAATCCTTCAGTCTCAGCTTCGGGAGGGGCTGGGATTACAGGTGTGCGCCATCGCAACTGTGTGGTTTGGGTGGTACTGGGGATGAACTGGAGCCTCATGTTAGGCCCTGGCTCTACCATCAAGGTGCACCCCAGCCTCTAATCATAATTTACAACAAAAACAAGTCGTATCAGGAAGCCTAGAACCCCGGGACTCAGTTTCCACTTCCTAGTCACCAGCCAAGCCTGGCAGCTCCTGTCTGGCTCTGATTCTCTTCCTTCCTGTGAGAGTCCACTGTCCCTCCAGGGCCACCCAATAGTTCCTAACTGTCCCCATGCTTTGACTTCTCTCTGAGTCAATATGCTAATTTATTTCCCTCTGGGCCTTGAGTGGCTGCATTAGAGGATGCAAAGTTGTGCCCTGCTCAGAGAAGGCTCCATGTCTCCAGGGTAAGGCTCAGAGGCACTGTAAGGATGGCCTTAGGCCTTAGCCTAAGCAACTCCATTTTAAAACTCCAGTTTGAAACCTGGCAGGCAGCCTACACCAGGCAGCCTACAGAGCCCTCCAGTACAAACAAGTCACTTCTCCCCCCCCTGACGAGCTCAGAGTGAAGTCTCTGTCATGTTGTCCTTGCCCTGATAAGAGAGAGGCAAGAAATCAGGGTGGGGACCACCAGACCAGATGCTGTAACCCCAGGGCAAATGATGTCACTGAGAAATCCCGTGGGAGCTGGTAGGGATTGAAAGGGTGGTCAGAAGCCCCAAATTTTAGTATAAAAAAGCAAATGAACAGACATTCAGCCAGCGACCCTGATGCCCTCACGCTGAGAGCCTGATGAGGACCTGGACTGACATCCCAACTCTTCTCATCTTTTGCCTGATCCTCTGCTTCTTCCTCACTGTTCTCAAACTCTACAGCCACATCTTGATGGTGAGAGCCACTTCTTCTCCCTAGGACCCTATCCTCAACTGGCTGTCAGCTCCACCCTAGGAGAGTCCTGCCTTGGGTCCTGACCTGATCAGGGCGGTCTGAGTGAGTGTGCATCTGCTAGACTTAAAGCCTAAGGCTTGAGACTTTTGATCTGACACTTAGCTTTTAGCCTGCAGAGGGAATGTCTGTCAAGTGTATTTGCAGTGCTTAGAATTAATCTAGAATTGTTTGCAGTAAACTGATTCTGTCTACTGCAGTGCCTAGCATTAAGGATTGTCATTTTCTTGATTAAGAACCTATAGAGTGGAATTGTATTGAGTGATTTGAGTGAATAAAGCATTGAAAAGGGCAGAAGTCCGTGGACATTCTTTTTTTTTTTTTTTTTAAAGAGAGAATGAGAGAGAGAGAGAAAGAATTTTTAATATTTATTTTTCAGTTCTCGGCGGACACAACATCTTTGTTGGTATGTGGTGCTGAGGATCGAACCCGGGCCACACGCATGCCAGACGAGCGCGCTACCGCTTGAGCCACATTCCCAGCCCCTGTGGACATTCTTTATGCCTAAGTTGTCCTTTGCCCATTGCGACAGTCACCTGAGTCTTTTTCTTTTTGGTTCTGACTTCGGGCCTCACCGTGGTGTCCATGCTGTCCTAGAACTTCTGGGCTCCAGCTATTTTTCCTGCCTCCACCTGCGGAGTGGCTGGGGCTTCAGGCAGGCACTGCCGTGCTGGCTTCCCGAGGACCCTCACCAGCTTCTCTCCCTGCCACCTGTTGTCCTCCCCACCCTTCCTTCTTCAAAGGTGCCACAGTTTTCACAGCCCTGGGCTCCCTTCTCCTATGCTCCAGGATGTCCCTGTGCCCCTGCCTCCAGGCACACCCAGCCTTCAAGGACAGGGTAATAACAGGCCTGTAACCCCAGGTACAGCCACTTGGGAGGCCGATGCAGGAGGATCCAAGTTCAAGGCCAGTCTTTGCAATTCAGCAAGACCCTGACTCAAAACAAAAAATGAAAAGGGCTGGGAATGGGGCTCAGAGTTAGAGCAGTGGATTCAATCCTCAGTACAAGAAAATAAACACAAAAATAAGGTTCCCTGGGAAAAGAGCCTCTCTGGCAGGTGGGCTGAATGATTTATCCCTTGTTTTCTTCCTTGAATCAGAAACCACATCTTTTATTCCCCATATATCTCCAGACACTACCCGGAATAAACACCTGTTGAACAGAATACTGAGAAAAATCAAAAACATCTTAAGAAGGCTACTGTGTTTCCTCCAGAGCAGAGCCATCTGCCAACCCACGGAAGACACAGGTTAAAATGCTTCCAAAAGGGCCTGCATTTAAGTTCTCAAAAATTGATGTTAATGTTTCATCAAAGAATTTCGTGTGGCCAGGTGTAGGGGAGCACCCCTGTTATCCCAGAGGCTGGGGTGTCGATTGCAAGTTCGAAGCCAGCCTCAGCAACTGAGCGAGGCCCCACAGAACTTAGCAAGACCCTGTCTCAAAATAAAAAGAGCTGGGAATGTGGCTCAGTGGTGGAGCACCCCTGGGTTCAATCCCTGGTACCAAAAAGAAAGAAAAAAGTATTAGATGTATTTGTGACAACCTAAACACACACACACACACACACACACACACACACACTCCTGCAGCACTCCGACCCTGCAGCCACTGTGAACTCCCAGGGGTTCTCCCCGGCACCCACATCCACAGTTAATTCGCTTATGTGGCCATTTCTCCCCATGTCTGTGGGGGAAGGTGCCTACCGATTTCCTGTCCTGATGGCGGAGGGCTGGCTGGCAGACAGGCTTCCCACCCTTCACCACCCCCCCACTCAAAACTCAACATCCCTCCTTGCTTCTTCCCCGGGTTGATCTCCCGCTGTGGGTGTCCATAAGGCAGCGCTGTTTGCTGGCATGTTGACCAAGTGCCAAAAGCCCTCTGCAGAGGGTACTTTTTATTTTTATTTTGTCTGGTGCTGGAGATGGAACCCAGGGCCACACACATGCTCAACACTCCACCACTGAGCTATGACCCAGTCCCAAGGCGGGTGGTTAAACCCATCTCTCCATCTGGGAAGCAGAGACTTGCCCACTAAGCATACAGCTCCTCAATGGATGTGCACTGGGTCTGTGTGCCTCAAAGCCCAGGTTCCCTGGAACAATCTCCGTCCCTTCAATCCCCAAACCATCAGTGCAGGGGAAAGTAAAGAGGAGGGAGGGGGCCGGGTGCAGGGGCCCACGCCTGTAATCCCAGTGGCTCGGAGGCTCAGACAGAAGAATCATGAGTTTGAAGCCAGCCTCAGCAATGGCGAGGCGCCAAGCAACTCAGTGAGACCCTGTCTCTAAATAAGACACAAAATAGGGCTGGGGATGTGACTCAGTGGTCCAGTGCCCCTGAGTTCAATCTCTGGTACCCCCCCCCAAAAAAAAAGAGTTGAAAACATTCTTGAAGAGATACATGCCCACTCGTGATCATAGTAACAGCATTATTCAAAATAACCAGTGTCCACTGACAGACCATGGATAAACACAGTGCGGGCATCCATACAGTGGACTATGATCCCCTACAAAAGGAAGGAAATCTTGTCACAGGCTGCAGCGTGGACAAACTTTTAGGACATTACGCTAAGTGGAATAAGCCAGTGACCAGAGGGCAGTCGCTATGTGAGCTCACTTCCATCACTGCCATGTTCATTGAGATAAAGTGGAGTGATGGGTGCCAGGGGCTGGGGAAGTGAGGAGGGGTGTTAGTGTTAATAGAGACAGGGCTCCAGTTTGGGAGGATGAAAATTCTAGATATGCATGGTGGTCACCCAGCAGTGCGAATGTACTTAATTCTGCTGAACCTAGCGCTTAAAAATGACTAAAGTGAACTTTGGGAGGTTGTTCAGTGAGAGCAGCAGGCTCAATGTCTGGACCCCATCCCAGCAAAACACACACACACACACACACACACACACACACACACACAAAGCTAAAATGGCAAATCTTATGTATTTTTTTTTTTTTTTTGGTGAGAGTGGAGGGGTGCAGTTTACTGAGGATTGAACTCAAGGGCACTCAACCACTGAGCCACATCCCCAGCCCTATTTTATATTTTATTTAGAGACAGGGTCTCACTGCGTTGCTTAGGGCCTCACTTTTGCTGAGGCTGGCTTTGAACTCATGATCCTCCTGCCTCAGCCTCCCGAGCCGCTGGGATTACAGGCATGCACCACTGTGCCCTTCTCTTATGTTAGGGTTTTAATTTTACCAGACCAAAAACTTAGTAGCCTTAAAAAAGAAAGCAAGCGGTAGAGAGCTCGCCTAGTACGTGTGGGGCCCTGGGTTCGATCCTCAGCACCACATAAAAATAAATAAACAAAATAAAGCTATTTGTCCATCTACAACTAAAACAAACAAACAAAAAACTCTGGCAAGGTTAACTGCAGTGACAAGGGCAGGCCCTTCCTGCTCACCTTGCAGCCGCTGTTCGGCGCCGTCCTGCGTCTCCAGCAGCCGCTCCAATATCTGCTCGTGGCGCCCCAGCAGCCGCCGCTGCTGCGCCTCGGCGCGGTTAGCGCTCAGCAAGCTCAGCAGTCCCTGGCTCACCTCCTCGATATCGCGGAAGGCAGCCATGACTACGCCAGGACCAAACCGCGCAAATTTGACTGCCCGCGGGGTACGCCCCTTCCCGATAGGCTTGGTTTCATTGGCTTATTTCTCAGTCAGTCAAGAGCGATGGCCAGTAGGTGCAGCGAGGGGGCGTCTCGGTACGTGGGAGGACGCCTCCGGTTTGGCTTGGTGCGCTTGCGCTGGCTCTTCTGTCAGTCAAAGATGATGACCAATCGGAGCGTCAAGGGGACGTCTCCGGGAGGTCGGCCTGCCGCGCCTGCGCAGGGTGGAAAGTTGCTGAGCGACCTTGAAGGGTTTTTCGGCGGGGAGGCCAAGGTCCAGTGCCCGCTGCTTGCAAGCAGCGGTTGCAGAGGCAAAGCTTCGGGCTGCTTCTTATGGAGCCGACGTTTTACAGTGTGTGTATAGGATACACACAACAAACATAAAACAATTTGTTACCAAAATGAAGTCTGCAGTCTCATTGGGTTCCAGATTCAGCTTTGCAGTGGCTGTGCGCTGTGTTATCCTGGGCTAGTCGCTTAACCACTCAGTGCCTTACCTTCCTCCTCAGTAAAAGGAGGGCCATAATTAGTGCCGAGCTCAGGGTTGGTGTTGGGATAAAATAAGGATTGTGTCTGGTATTCAGTAAAGTGTTATATATAGGTGTTAAGTGAGACTCACACATGGAATTGAGTGGGTGGAGTGCCTAAAATACCCTCAAACCTCACACTATGAGAGGGGTTACAGTTGAGGAGAGACAAACGACACAATTCAGTGACGTGGTCCTCAAACTGTAAAGGTATCGCTTTGTGGGGGCGGGTGTCATGATTTTCTACAACATAGAATAGAGAAAAATCAGTGCGTGCACGCAGCAAGTTCCAAGCTGGGCTCCAGCTGCCAGGGAGCAAAGTGAGGAGTCACCGTGGAACCTTCGGCAGACTGTCAGGGTCCATCATCTCCCTCCTCAGCTTATTTACAAGAGACAGGACTTGCCGAGGGGCTGCTTATATTTTTTTAATTGCTTATATAGATAGGGACACTGCTTTCCTGGGATTCCTTTGAAGTCCTTGGAAAGCAAGGAGAGAGACTCATGTACACAACATCCATACATTTTTGGATTTTCTGCACCTTTTGGTTTGTTTGTTTTTGCAGTACTAGGGGATTAAACCCAGGGCCTTGTGCATTCAAAACCAGTGCTTTACCATTAAGCTACATTTCAGCCCTTACACACCTTTTGGGGAGTGCTAAGACCCTGGAAGGCTATCCTTAGATTTCAAGTTAGGAGTCACCCCTGCATGAAGTGTAGCTCAGCCATAGAGTGCTTGCTTAGCATGCACCCGGTGCTGAGTTCCATCACAGAGGGGAGGGAGAGAGGAAGGGAAGGAAAGAGGAAAGGAAGGGAGGGAGGGAAGGAGGAAAGAAGGAAGGGAGGAGGAAGGGGGCAAAGGAAACAGGCCCTGTGGCAATGCCTGTACTCCCAGTGACTCAGGAGGCTGAGTCGGGAAGATTGCAAGTTCAAGGCCAGCCTCAGCAAGTTAGCAAGACCCTGTGTGGCTCAGTGGTAAAGCGACCCTAGGTTCAGTTCCCAATGTCATATGCACCCAAATCTTGGGTTCAGTTTCTGGCTGGGCAGCTTACCTGTGTCCTTGGCAAATTCACAATCTTTCTTTCTAAGCTCTGGGGCTAAAGATAGCCTTCTCTTATCAGCTGGAGCGGGATGTCCAGGAGATAAGCCATGCAAGATTGTGTAACCAGAGCCTGACAGACAGAAATACTGCCAAAAAAGGCCACCCACCTCCCTTCCAAAAAAAGCAGTGAGGTCCACCTGACAGTCATTAGGATGGCCACTATCCAAAACAAACAAACCAAAAAAAAAAAAAAAAAGAGCCAGCTGATGAGGAGAGAGTGAAATCCTCATGAACGCTTTAAAAATATTTTTAGTTGTTGATGGACACAATACCTTTATTGTATTTATCTTTATGTGGTGCTGAGGATCGAACCCAGTGCTTCACACATGCTAGGCAAGTGCTCTACCACTGAGCCCCAGCCCCAGCCGGCTCTTGTGCACTCTGGATAGGTACATGAACTGATGCAGCTACCCTACAAAACAGTGTAACATTCTTCAAAAAGTTAGAGACAGGCCTGGGGATGTGGCTCAAGCAGTAGCGCGCTCGCCTGGCATGTGTGCGGCCCAGGTTCGATCCTCAGCACCACATACCAATCAAGATGTTGTGTCCTCCGATAAGTAAAAAATAAATATTAAAAATTAAAAAAAAAAAGTTGGAAACAGGGATAGGCGAGGTGGCGCATGCCTGTCATTCCAGCTGCTAGGGAGGCTGAGGCAGGAGGATCACAAGTTCAAAGCCAGCTTCAGCATCTTATTGAAGCCTTAAGCAACTCAGCTCAGTCTCTAAATGTAAAAAAGGGCTCTGTAGTTAAGTGCTTCCAAGTTCAATCCCCAGTAAGGAAAAAATTAGAAATCAAATCGTCCTACTAGGAATTCTACTCTTAGTTACGTGAAGATGGAAAAGCAGGGCCTGGGATAGAAATGAGCAAGAACGAGTTCGCAGCAGCATTATTCACAAGAGCCGAGAGGCAGAAACAACCCAAGGACCCATCACTGGACGAGGATGGCGCGTGGTCCGTCCATAAAAGGAAGAGGATTCCACCTTGAGAAGGAAGGCGGTCCTGGCAAGGGCGAGGATGCCCGGGGAACGCGGAGGGCTTTATGAGGGACATAAGCCAGACACCAAGGGACAAATCCTGCAGGCCTCACTTAGAGGCGACCCTGAAAACAGTCAGATTCACAGATATGGAGAATGCAGGCTGCGGCTGGGGAATGGGGTGAGTGTTTAATGGGACAGAGTTTCAGTTTTGCAAGATGAAAGGTGTTCTGGAGGTGGGTTGCACAACCTGTGGGTGTACTTCATGCCACTGAACTGTTCACTTAAAAGTTCAAGGGGCTGGGGCTGTGGCTTAGTGGCAGAGCGCTTGCCTAGCACATGAGAGGCACTGGGTTTGATCCTCAGCACCACATAAAAATGAATATATAAAATATATTCATATAAAATATATATTAATAAATATATTTTATTTTATATAAAATAAAGGTCTTGTGTGCATCTACAACTAAAAAAAGATTCATGGGGCCAGGCTGTAGCTCAGCAGTAGAGTATATACCGGTGAGGCCCCGAGTTGGATCCCAGGAATCTGCCCCCCCCAAAAAAAATTGGTTAAGATGGTCAATTTTATCACATGTACATTTTACCAGAATTAAAAACATTCTGGGGCTGGGACTGTGGCGCACTGGCCTTGCATGTGTAGGGCACTGGGTTCCACTCTCAACACCACATGTAAATAAATAAAATAAACATCTATCAACAACTAAGGGAAAAATATTTTTAAAAAATATTCTGGGCTGGAGCCAGGGACAGTGGCATGCACCTGTAATCCCCAGTGACTCAGAAAGCTGAGGCAGGAGGATCACAAGTTAGAGGTCACCCTGGGCAACTTAGCAAGACACTGTCTCAAAATGAAAAATAAAGAGCTAGGGATGTGGTTCAGGGGTGGAGTGCCCTGGGTTCAATCCCAAGTACGAAAGAAAAAAAATGTGTGTATATAATGACCTGGGGGTGCGGCTCACGGTGGAGCACTCGCCCAGCATGCTTGAGGCCCTGGGCTCCATCTGCAGCACCACAAAAGTGAAACACACACACACACACACACACACACACACACACACACACACACACACAAAGAAACCTAAAAAAAAAAAAGCAGAGAAACTCAGTGGGGCGGACAGGGTCTTCAGTAAGAGCTGACAGAAAACAAAGATGATGATAAACGTCCTGGCAACGGCCTCATGAGAAACAATCCTTCGTTTCCTAAAGGCCCCTTCTTGGCTCACAAAGTCCTGGGAAACTGACAAGAGCCAAGGACCTTCCACTCAGAAGTGCTCTCCTTTGCATTAAATGTTTGGGACCTCCAAAAACTTCTGAAAGCCCCCCATCCTCTGTGTCCTGGTTGCACAGCCCAGGGGAACACTGAAGGGAGTGGAGAAGGCAGGGGAACCTCCAGCCCCATCGCAGTTGGGAGGAGGGGGCTGGAGGGCTGCGGGGGAGCCCAGGGCACTCCACTCCCTCTCCTGGTGCTGGTGACTGGTTTGCAGAAGCCACTTTTATGTACAACTTGTGCACAAAAGGTATGTACTTAAAACAATAAAAAGTAAGGGCTGGCCCACGCCTGTAATCCCAGGGGTTTGGGAGGCTGAGGCAGGAGGATTGTGAGTTCAAAGCCGGCCTCAGCAACTCAGCGAGGCCCTAAGAAACTCAATGCGAACTTTTCTCTAAAGATACAAAAAAGGGCTGGGGGTATGGCTCAGTGGTTGAGTGCCCCTGGATTCACCACCCAGTGCCAAAAAAAAAAAAAAAAATAGAAGAGCTGGGGGACCAGGCGCCGTGGTGTACACACGTAATCCCAGAAGCTCAGGAGGCTGAGGTAGGAAAGAGGAAGGTGAGTTCAAAGCCAGCCTCTGGGAGAACCTGTCTCTAAATAAAAATTTAAAAAGGCCAAGTATGAATGTGGCTCAGGGTTAGGGGCCCCTGGGCATCCCGCCCCCCCGCCCCCCCCAAAAAAAGAGAGAAAACCTAGCAAGGGCCAGGGCCGCAGCTGAGGCTGAGCACTTGCCTGTCACGCACAAGGCCCCGGCTCCATCCACACACGGACAACTACAATGACACAAAGACAGAGACGCATCCACATTATTTGTAGCTTTATTAAATTCTTTACGTTCTAAAAAAGAGATTACAAAAAAGAATACTTCATTTAGTGTAATACTGTCTTTATGGATGTACCGTGGTCAGAAAGTGAAATTAAAGCTCAGGAATACACGTGGGAAGAGGGTAGGGACTGGGCATGACCCCCGTGCAGCCCAATGGGCATGCAGAGAGGAATGACCCAGTGACGCGGGTGATGGGAGGGGCAGCACTCCTGGGCCAGCGGGCTGCTTCCAGGAGCTTGGGTACAGCACCTGCTCGCTCACCTGGGGTTTTCTCTAGTTTCACACGCACACCACCCACCCACCCACCCACCCCGTCCTGGACCGCCCAAGCCTTCTTGTCCAAACATAGACTGACC